TCCAGCCACATACACCAGAGCTGATGGGTTCAAATCCAGCCTGGAGCCTGCCAAACAACAATGACAACTACAACCAAAAAACAGCCAGGTGTTGTTGCAAGCACCTATTATCCCAGCTACTTGGGAGGCTGAGGCAAGAAAATCACATAAGCCCAAGAGTCTGAGGTTGCTGTGAGCTATGATGCCTCAGTGCTCTACCCAGAGCAACAGCTTAAGACTCTGTCTCGAAAACAAAAATAAAAATAAGTAAGTAAATAATCTCTGGCAGTACATATTTAATAAGCTCTAGTGACTGTTATACACACTTAAATTTGAAAATATTGCTTTGAAAAAAAAGTTAATGTCATTATAGAGGCTTACTGTATAGTAAATGAAAAAAGAAAATAACAACATTCCTATTTATAAAGGTCATTTAAGAGTTAACCACCGCTAACCACATCTATATTCACCAATTATCATAGAGAGTGATATTAGGTATCATTTCTTTTTTTCTCATTTGTACTTTCTACTTTCCATAACCAATGCTCAGTATCTGTGAACAACAGTTCATACTCATGAATAAGAATACAAATGATGGCTCAGCGCCTGTGGCTCAAGTGGCTAAGGTGCCAGCCACATACACCTAAGATGGCAGGTTCAAATCCAGCCCAGGCCTGCCAAACAACAATGACGGCTGCAACCAAAAAATAGCCAGGTGTTGTGGCGGGCACCTGTGGTCCCAGCTACCTGGGAGGCTGAGGCAAGAGACTCGCTTGAGCCCAGGAGTTGGAGGTTGCTGTGAACTGTGATGTCACAGCACTCTACCCAGGGTTTGAGGCTCTGTCTCAAAAAAAAAAAAAAAGAATACAAATGATAACTAAAGAAGACATTGAGACTCCTTAGTATGTTTTAACTAGCTACACCTTGCTGGGTTTACAGTAAAAAATTGTACTTAACAAAATCCAGTTTTCAAATATAAAAGAAATCTTACCGAGGGCAACAAAGTGAGACTGTCTCAAGAAGGAAAAAAAAAGGTAGTAAGACTCTATACATACAGGGGTGGGAGTACCTGAAAGTAAAGTACCGTATTTCTTAGAACCTAAGATTTACATAACACTTATGTTAAGAAAATCTTGCCAACTGATTTTAGGACAAGTCCTGATTATGAACATTTTGAATATTAAAAAAATACAAAAACTGAATATTTTACAATCAACAAAATGTATTATTTATGGATACTTTACTGTTGTGAGTTATTAGCTTGTAACTTTACAAGACTTCTTGTAAAAGCACCAATTATAGAGTTAATGCAACTTCTAAGGTTAATTACATTACAAAAATGATTGCTCAGCTTTTAATTGGGAAGAGTATTTCCCTGGAAAGTTCATAATTGCTGGGAACAGGTTCTCATTTTTCAAACTGAGTTTGCGACTAAATGTAAATTACTCTTACACTCTATTAATTCCTACTAAAAAAAGGAAAAGCATGCTATCCCCTAGGAAAGAAAATATAATTTAACTTCAAGTCATAATTGCTACCATTAGAAAACCACTCAAGGCTGAGCTCACGTCTATAATCTTGGCATTCTGGGAGGCCAACACAGGTGATCTCATGATCTCAGGAGTTCAAAACCAGGCTGAGCAAAGCAAGGCCCAGTCTCTACTAAATACAAAAAAAAAAAAAACCTAGCTGGGCATTGTTGCAGTTGCCTGTAGTAGTCATAGCTACTCAGGAGGCTGAGGCAAGAAGATGACTTGAGCCCAAGAGGTTGAGGTTGCTGTAAACTATGATGCCCCCATATTCACTCAATCCCAGGGTGACAGAATAAGACTGTTTCCCAAAAAAAAAAGAAAAACATTCAGAATCTGTTGTAGAAAGACTTTCATTTACATTTTTCTTTAGCACATTTCTCCAAGAAAACCAACCCTATGATACCTATGGTATTTTCTTAAACATATATATAAGGGGCTTAATATAAACTGCCAACTAACCTTATCTTCATTTTGTAGTTTCACATCATATTTGTGAGGCAGAAATTTTGGAGGAGCCCATTTCCTTTCTCCTTTTTTTAATGAAGTAGGAAGTTTTCGTGGAGATCTACGTGCTCTGTCATCTAGTCAAATCAATAGAAAATTCATTAAAAACATAGTTCTTTTAATTCTAATCATTCATCAGTAACAATAATCTTACTAAACAGTTACTCTGCACCAAGCACTAGGTGATACAACACAAAGATGAATCATGATGTTTTTAACTTCACAGAGCTAAAGTTTATAGGGGGAGTCAACAAGTAAAAAATTGTAATATGATATGATAAATAATGTAATAGAGATTGGTAAGGAAAAATACTATGAGAATATAGAGAAGGAACTGCTAACTTAGTATAGAAGATAGGCAGGAAAGACCTAGAAAGAATATGAGTTGTTCAGATTGCAAGCAATGAAGTTTGGCTGAATCAAAAATAAGATTAAAATACTGGCCATTACCAAGGTTTTTAGAATGCAGTTCTCAATGGCTAAGGACATAACCATAAAAAAAATTTCCCACTAGGTTTTCTATCTGCTACTCTGCTAGCACTCAGCCTATTGGGGACATTTTATTAACCTTTTATTAGACTATTATTTTACCTCCATTGCCTATGTGTGAGCACTGTCCAAGTGGAAATACAAAGCAAGTAACTGTGATTGTCTAATAAATGTTATAGCAGACCAAAAAAAAAAAAAGATTAAAAAAAGTAAGCCAAAGCTAGGTTTATAAAGGGCCTGGTATACCACTTAACAAGATTGGAATTTGTCTTGTGAGTACTAAGAAACCACAGAAAAGTTTTTGGTTTTTCTAACCAGATACACATTTTGGAAAGATCACTAATATAAAAATAAGAAAATTTTAGCGGTTAGAAATGAAAAAACGGGCTCAGCGCCCATAGCACAGTAGTGACGACACCGGCCACATGTATTGAGGCTGTCGAGTTCGAACCCAGGTAAACAATAATGACAACTGCAACAAAAAGTAGCTGTGCACTGTGGCAGGTACCTGTAGTCCTAGATACTTGGGAGGCTGGAGGCAAGAGAATTGCTTAAGCCCAAGAGTTTGAGGTTGCTGAGCTGTGATGCCATGGCACTCTACCAAGGGCAAGGGCAACATAGTTAAGACTCTGTCTCAAAAAGGGGAAGGTGAAACTGAAGGTAACAAAATCAGAAGCTACAATGTTAAACATCTAGATTCACATAACTAGAACTAAGAAGGAAAGAAACTCAAGAGATATTTAGAAGATAGATTTGGTGACCAAATAGATGTGGGAATATTAAAGGTTTCCAGGTTTTCTGCCTTAGAAATTGAGCCAATGGTGGGCCAAGTTAAGAGGATGTGGAGAAAACAGCAGAGTTCCTATTTGTCTTATGAGACAAAAAGTGTGAGATCAATTTACCTTCAGGTGTGTTGAAATTCAGTTGCCCAGAAGATACACAAGTGAGCATTAGTTCTAGAGTTAAGAAGTCTGACCTAGGTTTAAGAATCATTAGTCTAGGGTGGTGCCTGTGGCTCAGTGAGTAGGTGCTGGCCCCATATACCAAGGGCGACCTGTTTGAACCCTGCCCCAGCCAAACTGCAACAAAAAAATAGCCAGGCGTTGTGGCAGGCGCCTGTAGTCCTAGCTACTCAGGAGCCTAAGCCCAAAGCTGGAGGTTGCTGTGAGCTGTAACACCACAGCACTCTACCAAGGGTGATAAAGTGAGACTCTGTCTCTTTAAAAAAAAAAAAAAATCATAAGTCTATATACAGGTCAAAGTGTAAACTATGGGTATGGATGAGATACAAGACAATATATAGTTTGAAAAACATAAAGAGGCGGTGCCCATAGCTCAGTGGGTAGGACGCCAGCCACATACACTGAGGCTAGCGGGTTTGAACTCGACCCAGGCCTGTCAAACAACAATGACAACTGCAACAATGACAAAAATAGCCGGGTACTGAGGTTGGTGCCTGTAGCCCCAACTACTTGGGAGCCTGAGGTAAGAGAATCACTTAAGCCCAAGAGTTTGAGGATGCCATGTGCTGTGAGGCCATGGTAATCTACCTAGGGCAAGAGCCTGAGACTGTCTCCAAAAAAAAAAAGAGGCTCAGCACAGTGGTTACGACGCCAGCCACATACACAAAAGTTGGCAGGTCCAAACCCAGCCTGAGCCAACTAAAACAACAATGACAACTGCAATAAAAAATAGCCGGGCATCATTGTAGGCACCTATAGTCCCAGCTACTTGAGAGGCTGAGGTAAGAGAAT